TATCTTTTTATAGTTATTTGCAATAGAGTATTTGTAACTTATAAATTTATTTTTGTAAATACATTTCACAATGCTAGTAATAATAAATTCTTCTTCGTAGCCATTTTTCGAAAGAGTCGTGACCATATCCGTTATTTTGCTTACGAATACATTGAAGAAAGAACAAGTGTTTGCTAATCTTCAACGTTTCCGTATATATAAGAGAGGATTTATTAATAAGGGAAATGTTTGTGTCACTGTGGGGAAATCTAATTACATTGAAGCTAAAATCATCCGTTTTATTATACAGCTTGGTATTAATTTTACCGTTAGTAATATTGATTGCTAAATCTAAATAATTGCTGGCAAACGGGTGTGAGGTGATGAGTTTTTTTCAGATTGAAGCGTATTTTGATAAACTTGAGAAAGTTGTTCATCCACTTCACCATCAGTTTGGTTATGTACAACAAGCAAGTCATCCATATATCTATATGGAATGAACAGCTTACTGTTGTTATACTTTTTGGATTTAGCATAGTAATACTCCATGACAGAAAGCGTAAGATCTGCCAGTAGTGGACTAAAATTGCCACCTTGTGGGACACCTTTAGTTTGCTTGAACGTATTATTAGCAAAAAGACAAAAACTGTTTCGTAAAAGATAGTCGATAAGGTATACTAAATCGCTGGATTCCCCTATGTAGTCCATGTCCATGTCGTCAACTCTATCGTACTGAGGAGCCCGGGGGTTGGTAAGACATCGTCTACGATAACGGGCGAAACGGATCATCTGTGATGTTGAGTGTATTCCTTTCCCAATATTTGTTTTTCTTTGTTTCTAATTGGTCTGTTCCGGGTGTTTCTTCTGATGCTGTGACTCTTTACCCCTGGCACCTAGGATCTCCTACACCATTCAAGTTTTCCACAAGCTTTCGGTGGAGGTGTCAAAAGAATGGGGTTGATAGATAAACTGAACCTGCGTTTCCAATCATGTACTCGAGTGCGACGGTCCAACCAATTCCGAAAGCAGCCAGTTCGCCCACGCCGATGTAGGTATAAGTATAAGCGCTACCGGCTCGAGGAAACCTGCGAGAATGTTCTTGTCTCATCATAATACGAAGTTATTCAGGAATCACACTACTGCAGTAGCTCACCTGGCACCGAACTCGGCATAGCTAAAAGCCGACATAAGGGCGGCAAACCCTGCACATAAAAATGAGATAACGATTGATGGACCCTGTCTGATTGTGTACGACTGTGCCTGAAAACGGGGGATTCGAGATGTTTCCAAATCTGGTTAAGCGTGGTTCGGACTGCCTTTTCATGCTAGGGTCTCCCTCCAGTGATCATGGGTCACGCTCTCTCGGAATTACTGGGTGGTTTGAGCATAGATACCGGCAGGGGATCACATCCGAGGCGATAAAATCTCGAAGGTAATTGCAAAAATCGGCGCTATTAGTGGGGGCATTTTGCACATTCGCCGCTTTCTTTCGCAAAAGAGCCACTCTAGTTGTCGGTGTTTGCAGGCCTACACAAGGTGGCCTGTACACACTTCAGTGGATTTAGTGGATAGCATTTGGTGCCCCCATCATGCCACCATACCCTCCAAGAGTCAAAAACGGTTTCAGTTTACGGCGCATCCCTCCATTTCCGGGAGGAGCCGCTATCTACACTCAGAAGTTAGTGGCTATTCAGTCCGTGGCTGACACATGCTACGACTTGCCGAACGTTCAGCCTGGTTCGATTTGATCCGCATTTCTATCCCCGACCTACGCATGCAGTAGTAGCCCCACTTGTCAACGACTGTTTCTACACAAATAAAATCAAAAATATCAAAAAACGGGAAAACTGAGCTTACCAGCTAATACGTAGAGACCAGCTCCAACCATTTGGCCTACAGCTATGAACATCACATCGATCACTCCCAGACATCGTTTCAGCTGCGAGTCGAGAGCCGATCCACCGACGAAAGTTTTCTTGCGAAAAAGTTGGTCCAGAACATATTTGGCTCTCATTGGACGGACTCCTTCAACATGAGCAGAATGGTCATCCATATCTCGGGAATGGGAAGGGCGTGGCTTCGTACTACATCTGAACACGCCGTAGGCACATTTCCATTAGGAACAACCGTCATTCTGTCCTAATCTGGACAAAGGCACACTAGACAATTATCCCAAACAGCAGTATCCCACCAAAGGCGTAGCCTTCGGTACGTTCAATTGAAGCACGCAACCACGTCGTTTCCCATCTTTGGGATGTGGAGTGTACGCTCAAAGACGCCGTCCACGCTAACTATAGAGGCGGAGTGAGGCCTTATGTTCTGTCTCGTTGACACGACGAGAAAGGAAGGCTTACTTAATGCGTATAGTAGTCAGACTCCGCCTACACGATCAGGTTGGACTGTGCCTTCTATGTAACCGCCAAACGACAGAGAAATTGTTGGCAACGGATTAAATAAAATTTTGCCAAAAAGGTTGCCGGGTGGAGCTCTCAATGTGAATTCGATCGTCGTCTTCAGAGGCCAGTCAACCATTGCATTAGGGGGACGAGGCCACTCGCTGTTAGTAGAGTTAGTGTACACTTACTAGTAGGAACATACTCACTACAACTAACAGCGAGTGGCATCGTTTCGCTAATGCGATGGTGGACTGGCCCCTGAGGAAAACGATGTAGTCTAAACCCAAGCCGAATTCAATGGAGTTCTCATAGCAATCTTTGGCACAATAAATCAAATCAAGAGTTGCAAATTTACAATAACGTGGACGTTTCATGTAAAGAGAAGTCGAACACCATCAGGGGGGGGGGCGCAACTGTTCGCCGGTAGAAGTGGTCTTATCTGGACTGAAACGAACTTTCCCGAGTGCGGATCGTTCACGTTTCACGCGGCAAAACTATTTCTGACAGTCTTTCGGAGGTCTTCGTCGAGAGCGCGAAAGGAGGGAATTAGGGAGTGGGTTGTGCCTTAGTTTAGCCCATCCCTGTTATGTAGCTGTACCCAGATTCTTCTTTAGACGCTGGAAGACCCAAGAAGAAAGAAATCTGAACAGGTCAAAGCACTGGAACGAAGACAGAAAATGCGTGAGCCACTGCCGGTTGCGCCAAATTGCGCCTAACCGTATCATGATCGTCTGTCTTGAGAGTGTAAAACTGAGTAGCAATGAATTAGAAGGAGAAAAATGGACACACGCGCAGTTTCCATTCCTTTTTCTGTACAAACCTTC